GGTAAACCGTATGCCAATGCCCGTTTCCTCGACTCTGTTTCACGACCACAATATCCCTCACGACATCACTCTCTCTTACAAGATAATACCACCATACTCAAAATTTAGATCTCAGAATATTAATGTTTATTTTTATTTTTTTTTGTTTATGAACTATTGTCATTTGAGTTTATCTGCCGAAGTACTCTTAATGCTACTTGACTTCTATCACATTTATTATCCCCCATAGCGGACAGCACAAGGAGGGCTTTGTGCCTAACTTACACAGGAGGGGGCGAGTTTATCCCCCATCCTAACCTTTACCGCGAAAGTCTGCAAGATGACATATACAGGTTTGCCTGTCATTTACTGTATGCTACAACAGCGGGGTGAAAATGTATGACAAGATATTTAGCCTTATACTTGTATCTGTAATGGTCGACCTTGTATACTGGATGATGTGATGTATTACAGATGTATTAACTGACTAAAACAAACTTTAATTGTAAAAAAAAAAAAAAAACACCTCACTTTTTCCAAAAGGAAATACTTAATACTTCCCTTATCTTGTGTGTCATTTTACCCCATTCCCTCTAGCATGTAAGCTCATTGAGCAGGGCCCTCCGCCCCTCTGTTTCTGTGCATCAAACTTGTCTGGTTAAAATTACATGTTTGTTAGTCCACCCATTGTAAAGAGCTACGGAATTTGTTGGCGCTATAAAAATATAATAATAATAATACAGTGCCGAGCTGCAGGTGTGTCTGCTTTAAGACTGCGGATGGATGTTTTTTGCTGAAATATACGATCCTTAAGTGCATGTATGGCTTACCCACATAGCCTAAGATACCCATATAGCCTTTGGTATATATGGGAGAATGTAGGGTGACATCTACTGGATCACCCACATATTGGGTCAACTTTTTGGAAATGGTTCTATTGTAGGTGTGGATTCTGCCATGCCCTGGTGTGATGTTTACAATGTCCAACAATCTGGACTTCCCACCGGGGATTTTTTAAGTTTGAACTGGGCAGGCAAGTGGCATATGAGATTCAATACATATAAATTTGCAGTCATGCATTTTAGAATTAGAAACCCACAAGCCACTTATACATTAAATGGGGTAGAGTTAAGGATAACTTTAAATGAAAAGGACTGGGGAACAAATATAGATCACAAACTAGGCAACAATGTGTACTGCTGGTCTGTCACTGCAAAAGCTAGTAAGGTGCTTTCATGAATAAAAAGGGGCATTGATTCATGTGATCAAAATACAATTTTGCCTCTTTACAAATCAATGGTAAGATGCAACCTTGAATAGGCACTGCAATAATGGGCACCAGTTTTAAAGAAGGATATTGCATTACTAGAAAAAGTGCAGAAGCGAGCTACAAAATTAGTAAAGGAGATGGAATACATTAGTTATGAGGAAAGGCTAGAAAACCTGTGATCATTTTCTTTAGAGATGATTGATGATCTCAGCCAAACAGGTGAAGCTGAACATGTAGAGAGCACTATGGCATAAGTTAAACTAACTTTTTTTTATCAATTAGAGGGGGCAGTAAACAAAAAGATACTATACCTATTATTCCTTTAAAGTCCAAACGTATGTGCCCTTTACTAATATCACTTTCTTCCTAGCTGTACAATGCTTATAATAAATATATTTAACAATATAGTTTACTATAAATTAAATGCCATAATGATCCAGTGGGGGTGGGGAGGGGTAGTTGATCATTCATTTAAAAAACAAAACAAAAAAAAACAGATGATATTCAGGGGTCAGTTGGAATTTAAAGGGACACTATAGGCAGCCAGACCCCTTCATCTCATTGATGTGATCTGGTGAAGTACTCCTGTCTACTTAAAGCGGCACTGTCATGGCCGCATCAGTTTTTTGTTGTTGTTTGTTTTTTAAACCCCCCTCCCGACTCCACTACATCTAATTTTCCCCCCAGTCACGACCATATGCCCCTAGGCTCCTAGATTTGTCAGACGAACAAACACTGAATATCGTTTAGTTTATAACAAGGAGGGAGCTACCGGCTCACAGCTCCCTCTTTTGGCTCCCCGCCAATTCCTAACCCCCCATGTCCTCCCTCACTCTATGGTGGTCAATATGAACCCCATATTAGCATAAGGGAAATTAAAATATTAAAATCTCCTGAATGCCCCTACTTGCTATGCCGTGAGTAGGGGCATGTCTACTAAACAGTGAGCTGCCCTCCTTTGTCTTATGTTTTAAAGAAAACTAGAGCAAACAGGAAAGAATGAACAGATCCTGAGAGAGGAACCGACTAGGGAAAGGTAAGTTCGGCATGACATTGCCGCTTTAACCCAGCAATGTAAAACATTGCAATATGCAAATGCAAGTTGCAATATTTACATTGTAGGGTTGAGACAACCTCAGGTGGCTGTCTAGGTAGCCACTAGAGGTCATTTAAGTTCCCAAGTGGAATTTAAGTTTGTGAAATTCTGTTGTATGTCCTCATGCAAAACATCTTCAAATTTCCTATACAGAAGGTCTAATGTGCATGCCACGCTTGCTGCGCATGTGCATTAGGTTCCCATATTGGCATAGTTGGAGGGGGCGAGGGACTATAGCACTAGGAATACAGTTTTGTATTCCTAATGCTATAGTGTTCTTCTAAGTTATAAGTAGTACAGCAATAGAAGCAAAGCCATTCCTCACATCAGCTGCTGTTATCCGCTTGCTAAAGGTTTATATTACTGTTTTGGCAACAAAACCTCTGAAAGAAATTGAATAGGCTCTTTCACTGAATGTGTCAGCTGTAGCATGAACCTTGACATGCAGTACAAATGCGGGGATAAAATATAAATAATGCATGTGATGCTAGGAATGTATGTGCAAGGCTTACAACTACAGCAGTCTGGGCCTCCTTCTTCCAACATAAGTTGAAAGTTGCATAAAAATGCCCTTTACTTATCATATTGCAAATCTACTGTAGTTGAATAAAAACACTAGTGATAATTACTAACCTTGTAAGTCAGGATCACTGTTTGTTAAGATATGTGGAAAACCAGTGAGTAGAGTGTTTATTAAGCCCTATAAAAGGTAAAACAAAAATGTTTACAAAAAACCCAGTTTAATAGACCAATATTCATGACCATGTAATTACGTTAATGACACTGCAGAAGGAACACGTTAAAAAAAAAAAAAAAATGATGGGTTACAAACGTTATATTATTAGAATAAAGATAAACTAAATAAAATGAAAATAAATAAATAAAATAAGCACCTATATGACAGTAAATCTGCCTTATTGTCCACAGAGGAATGACAAATTCCTATGGTATCCAACCCATTTGCATCCTTACTCAAAGGATACAATATTGAAATACTATAATCAAACATTGTATAATTACAAGTGAATGCACTCAGTTCAATCCTAAAAAAAAAAAAAATAGAATAAACCAAACATTATACTTAAAAAATAAAAATGAAAATTAGAGTGGAGCAGTGGAAAATAAAAAATAAAAAAAATTAAAAAGAAGAAATATTCCAAAGTAACGAAAACAATGTTGAGATGAAAAACCAAAAACAAGTTAAAGTAACAAAGGATATAAAAGTGCTGTGGTTATACTTAATAATCAGCAGATGGCGCCAGATCGAAACATCTCATGGCATATATATAGAGAAAAAACATATACACATGCTAGTGCAGGCTGTTTAGATATACAGATGTAGAGGTAGGTGTAGCTCATAGTTTACTTGATACAGATATGTTTCTGTAAAGAAAGTCAGGCAGTGCTCTGTAGAAGTCAACGTGTTTTGCCGGTATCTCCGGTTTCCTCAGGACGTGATGCTCGGAACTCTGAGCAATTACAGAGCACTGTGACATACAACAGAGTCAAATTATCGTATCTCAAACTGCTGATTATTAAGTATAACCACAGTACTTTTATATCCTTAGCTAGTCTGAAAATGAGATTTGAGACACTTTTTTCCACTAATTTCTATTTTCCGCATTTAAATGTACCAGTCCTTTCTTAAATGTATTATCCAGCAAAAAAAAAAAAAAAAGCATAGTTTAGACAGAGAAAAACCTACACGTTATATAATTTTTTAGAACA